GTATAATCACTATGTGACCTCTCAACAAAGGAGTCACAAAAGGTGCAGGTGACTCTATCACAGCTCTATAGTACTCCTCTCCATAATTCCTCACAAGAAAATCTCTCCATATCCTCTTATGTCTATATACTGTTCTAATCTCTACATAAGTGCTGAATCGAACCGTGACAGGTGGTTCGCGATTCAAATCCATGAAACAATCAGTATAGAATGTATATAGTACAATCCCAAGTCTCTCCATAAGTAACTATTGGAAGAATCAGTGGCACTCTTGACTCCATCACTCTAGTCATAAAATCTGCACCCCAACAAGCCACAAGGTACATCCGAAAATGATGTTTCTCCATGCAACGAAGGTGAATATCAAATAGGTTAGGAATTGGCCAGTGCGGTACTGGATTCCTGTCAATCCCGTCCATATCTGCAAAAACACAATTTCCCCTTTCCACCTCTCTCTACATGCAGATGAATGACCTCTGCCAGCCTCTATACACTCTCAAGACTACACTCCATCATCACTCACTTGCTATTCCATGAGGGGTAATCCACACTCAAGGAAAGAGCAAGGTCGCTCTGATACCATTGTAACACTAGGGTTTAGAGAGAAGTTCACTCGAAGATAGAAACGTAAACTCTGAAGATGAGAGATACCAACAATGGTTCTCCTCTCCCTTATATAGCTCTCACCAACAAGTACAAGGTGATAAGATCTAATCCCCACCATCCATCCCACTCCTAGTGGATGGATGACGTGGCGGATAATCCTAACAAGCACACGGATCGCTGACGTGGCGCACCCAACTAACACACCCACTCTGTACCTACCAAGTGCGCGGATCGCTGATGTGGCAGCTATGACTAGTGCACACTAAAGTATCTACATCCATATTCAGAGTAACCTCTACTTTAGTTCTAACTAACTAAAGATGGTTACATCAGGCCAAAATTCTTTCTCCATTGAGATTAATTTGGGGACTCGTTCGACCCACACCATGATGCTAAGTACTCCCAATAACATCTTGTCATATCTACATTTGAAAAAACACAGAGAACTTCATACCTGGGTATAAACTCAAAGAAAACTTTGTCCTTGACAATGGGAGCTAAGATCTGAATTGAAGCTAATCACGTATGAAATCTCAACCTCAACAGATCGATTAACATCCGTTGACTCTCAAGATAGATCTATGTGGGTATTTATTCCAAGATGAATGAGTGTAAATCTTAGACGACGGGTAAGAGTCAGAAGTAGGTGTGAAAGCCTCTAGAGGAAATCCAGGCAGTTAGATGAGCAGCGTGTTCCCGATGCCAAACGATTTCACCTTCCATTTGCAAGGCCTCCGTGAAAACATTCATAATCTTTACCATGTCTGGACTATCTACGCTGTTGGGCAGAATGAACGGCAGCACCAATCTCGTCACTAGTAGCATTTCTTCTCGTCCAACGACGGATCCACGATGGTGTAACTTGTAATATTGGAACATCGCTGAAGGTGTGCCGTTGAGTGGGGTTCCATCAAGTAAAATGAAACCTATTGGATCCCACCAGTAATTTTAGTTTGCGAGAGGTCCCATTGAGCAATTATCTTCCTTTTTTTGTCTCCAAAAATCACTAAATCCGAGATTTAGACTTGTGTTGCCCCATGATAGTATCCCTCACTGTTTTGTCTTGCCGGCAAAACTATTGAGAAGATAACCATGCCCCGACTTTTGGGAGTGATGTTTTTGGATGATGTGTTACTGTTGGTGCATGTGACCGTGAGTTGGGCTTTGCACTGCAGGATTGTTGATTTCCATCTCTTCCTCTTCGCTCCAAATTTCAATGAAGTGACCTGATCCGCTTCCGCATTTATCTAGCTTATCAAATTAGATACAAATTCCACAGCCAAACATATCCAAATTATTTGACAACACTCAATGTTCACTCATGATTTATATTCATAAGATGCATTGATATATATGCTACTATAAGATACTATTATATCTAGTCCATGTTATTGGTTTGGTTTGAATGAATAAAGATGCACTAATACATGTCTACCAGAGCCCCGACATTGGGTGCCCATACCCATGGGTTATGGGTGGGTTTTGGGTGACATTATTTTTCCATGGGCGGGCACAAGTAATGCTAACGGCAGTGTTTGTCCAGATCCAACCGAGTTATTTGAGTAACGTGGGTGGGCATGGTCGGGCACAGGTAATGCTATGGGTGGGCGTATGACGCTGCTGATGGTTATGGTCTGGTCTGGGTGCAGATTTGAAGTAAAATGTCTATACAAAATTCTATTGAGTCCAGTCCATGTTAATTGTTGGTTAGATATGATGTTATAAATTTTATTACATTGCTCAACCTCCCATATCAGTTTTCAAATTTTCGGAGTCAAAGAGTCCATGTTAATTGTTGGTTAGATATGATGTTATAAATTTTATTACATTGCTCAACCTCCCATATCAGTTTTCAAATTTTCGTAGTCAAAGAGTGACTGCTCTGGATACACAGACTCTTAACTACCATTTTCAAAACCTGGAAGTTTTCATCCTCCATGACAAAGAGGACCGCAACATTTCATAGTTTCACTAGGATCTACTTTTCTCTTCGTCACAAGCTAACGAATGTCTATTTAACTACCATGACCACATTTACTATACAGTATTCAATAACAAGAAGCACCTCTAAGAGATGGTCGAGTCATTTTCTAGATGAGGGAAAAAGGTCAGCTGGCACGAAAAAGGTCAGCTGGCAGTCTTGTAAACACATTCACGAACCGAACGTTGAACGCTGCGGAGAAAGTAAAACCACATCGATCCAGCCGTTATGGTCATACAGTGTAACGAGTATTCCTTCGTGAGTTCATCATCTTCCAGCTTTTCAGACTTGAGGAATTTTTAAAGACATCTCCTTGTTACAAAACTCCAAGCAGTTTTACTTGTTTCATGGAATATCGCACTATCGAAGATGAATGGAAGTTGAGTGAACCATAATCAATGGACGCCGTATACAACAAAAGAACTGGTGTGAGGGAACCCTTCAAGATAGAGCATACGGCAAACGCGTTGACCGTTTCTATACTTGAGACAGATAATGATGGTTATGGCAGTCGTCTCCGGTTGACAATGGAAACGTCATCCGATCCTTCGAAGAACTTGTTATTATTAATGCGCGACGCGTGAACAGAAGATATGGAAACTTCGGGTCTTCCAATGGGGTTCGTGCACGATGGAATTGTGTGTTATTCCACGAAAGATTTTTTTTATCAATCTTATAAAATGTTTCATAAACTACTTGAGCATATACTTCTGCACATACTCTTCCACTCTCCATTTGAGAGTTCTCTTAGTCTATTATCCTACTTTATGTACAAGCAAATGCTCTTTGTAAGGTAATGTATATTCGCCAAAATACACTATCCACTTTGCCCCACCCTGTGTTCCTTATTTAACCACTTTCCATAATCAAATAGCTATATAGAGTGGTTCTCTATATTCTTAGAAAGATTTAAATTTCTACATTGCTTCCTATGGTATTTGTCACACTTTTATATCGAACAATGGACGTCCATGGTTTCATACATGCTCATGATATGATTAAGAAAATGCAAATGAGCCGCTTGATCTATGTTAGATTGAATAAGTCATTCATAAAAAATATCAACTTGCGCATTACTCTTTGCTGATTTAGAACTATTCATCTACTTTACAGTGGAATGCTCATTCAAAAAAAAACTCACAATTCAATGAAGAAAAAATACTGAATAAAAATCATGAAATGTGAATAAAGCTAAAAAATGTATCAAAAAACCTTTTTTAACTGGTATAGATCTAATTTTATTTTTTTATATATACAATTACACTCATGTATAGTATGAAATGCGCAAAAAATCATCTTTGAATACTCGTGAAAATAAATGTAAAACTTGTGTATTTTCGTTATATCGTAAAGCTCCCTTAAAAAATTCAACAGCACATAAAGTCTGTTCAAAAAATAACACATAATATCAAACTCATAATGTTTTTATGACAATCATGAGATAAATAGAATAACAACGACATAAATCCTTGAAATTGTTTATATAACAATGAAAAGTTGACTTATAGCATTGATAATAAAGGTTTGAAGAATAATTTCTTTATAAAATAAAACATGGTATCATGCAAAATAAAATATTCAATGAATTGGTTGATGAAATAAAAATTATCATATTGTAGTGCAAACTAGATGATAGGGAAATCATTGATTGCAGGTTTCTTACTCAATTTTATTAATGTAATCATCTATTGTTATATAGAATTTAAATAGAAATAAAGAAAAATTGATTTAAAATGAATTATCTGAAATCGTTCAAAAAGCGGAGCAACCCGACAAATATTTTGAATTTTAAAATAAATAACATTTATGTTAGATCAATAAAGATTTGTATGTATTAATTGAAAAAAACATGTCTTCAATTAAGTGTGTTAAGTAAAAATTAAACATATTATTCAATATATTACTTGAGAATCATGTATCTAATTTTGTTGAATACATTAGCAGCTAAATTATACTATATTAAGTGCCCTCAACCGAAACTTTTAGTGAAGTCTGAAGAATCTACGCAGGATTCATGTTTAGATCAAAGTCAAAGCTTACTGGACGAACTCCCGACCAGAAACTCCTAGTACGAATGTATCGGCTTTTTAAAGTAAGGTCTCCAATGGGTTTACTGTAAACTACAAGTAACCTCATGGCTACAGGCTAGATAATACTATTCAATTATATATCAAATGCAAGTTACGGTAAGAGGTTACAAAGAATAGGGCATTTCCTTACAACTTGAAGCTAGATGGAGTTGAGCACCTACTCAAGCAGAACCATCTCAATAATTACAGCGTCGTACGTCAAGAGGAGCGAGGATGAGCGAGGAAATTCCGGGGTCGAAATCGGACATGGAAGAAGGTTCTTCCAAGCCGATTTCCAGCAGCCACGACGTTAGCAATAGACATAAGGATTTTTACAGGAAGACATTGTGACAGTAATCATCCGCTGCACTCGGCACTGAAGAATCATCGACGGCTTCTAAGACTTGTTAGAAAGCAGTGTAAGTAAGTTCGATCTCTGCAAGCCGTTCAACTTGCCAAGATTTCGCCAACTTGCTACTGATAGCTTCAATTTGCTCTTGAGATTGGGAGTCTTGAATTTCATTAGATAGAAGGAACTAACATGCCTTTGTGAATGCGAACTCCAGAAGATCACTCTCGGAGTGCAGCTGAACGATTCTGCTCGCTATGACGAACGAGGTCCACTTCTGGTTACCTTCACCTTTCACTCTGATGCTATCGCGTCAATCGAACTTCTGCAGCTCGTGAGAGATGTTAATGTCTCCGACAGCAAAACAAAGCTACATCCTAGAACAAGCTACTTCATTCACGAAACATCACGACTACAATATGCAGTGCTTTTCCCCCACAAAGGATTCCAGCGAAGGTACAGAGACTCCGAGTGCGATCATCTTCACAGTAGACTCCTGGCGTGGTTCGTTGCAATGAAAACTTTCCCAGCATGTCAGTCTAAACCAAGTGAAATCGGAGTAGGTTGTCGCTGCTGGATGAGTTGCAAGCATCCTGTCTGTACTCTTGATGGAGCATATGGCTCCTCTGCTAACTTTTGGTCGGATTCCCGACCAAAAGTTAGGGATTCCCGACGTAGATTGGCGATGTCTGTAGCAGTATTGTTGACATATATTTATTGCAGAGTGTAAATTTGAGGTTTATTGCAGACACTGCTGCGTGAGGTTGAACTTGCTGACACCAGCTGACTTTCCGCTTGCTCCTGATCGTTGAATTGGAGCAAAAGAAGGTGTTGTGTTCCTCCGATCGAATCATGATCGCTGTCTTGTTTTTTTGTTTCAGAACCATGCTCGCAGAAAGGTCGCGGAGCCCACCTCCATTCGCGAGGCAGATCGATGACAACCTATACGCCCTCATTGAGAGAGCGGACTTCACCAGGTTTATTGCAGACACTGCTTCGTGAGGTTGAACTTGCTGACACCAGCTGACTTTCCGCTTGCTCCTGACCGTTGAATTGGAGCAAAAGAAGGTGTTGTGTTCCTCTGATCGAATCATGATCGCTGTCTTGTTTTTTTTGTTTCAGAACCATGCTCGCAGAAAGGTTGCGGAGCCCACCTCCATTCGCTATTTTTTTGTTTCAGAACCATGCTCGCAGAAAGGTCGCGGAGCCCACCTCCACTCGCCGCTCTCTCAATGAGGGCGGACTTCACCAGGTTTATTGCAGACACTGCTTCGTGAGGTTGAACTTGCTGACACCAGCTGACCTTCCGCTTGCTCCTGATCGTTGAATTGGAGCAAAAGAAGGTGTTGTGTTCCTCCGATCGAATCATGATCGCTGTCTTGTTGTTTTTGTTTCAGAACCATGCTCGCAGAAAGGTTGCGGAGCCCACCTCCATCCGTGAAGCGGATCGATGACAACCTATATGCCTTCATTGAGAGAGCGGACTTCACCATGTCCATCATCTTTTTCCACGGGCCCTGTAATGATGGAGAGGAAATAGCTAATATGTATTTCCGCGATTGGGTTTCGATTTGTCAAAATGTCGAAGTTCTGTGGCCAACGGATTGGCTGGCGGAAGACGTGCCAGGTGCCCAGATATTTTCTGCCTCTTACGATCTTAGCCTGAATGTTACATCGAGAAACGGGAGACAAGATTACTACCAAATAGCAGAAAACTTGGTATCCAGCATATTTCTGCATGCAAAGGACTACGAGATGTGGTCAAAACCCGTGGTCTTGGTGGGTCATTCTCTTGGAGGAATCGTTATCAAGGAACTTCTGCTGAAAGCTCACGACATTGTGGGTGCCGGCAGTGTCGTATACAACGCAGGAAGGGTCAAGCAGTTCCTGGACAACATGAGCCTGATTTACTACTACTCAACGCCTCATTATGGGATGACATTTCGCCTGGAAGGACATTCGGATGATCCCCCCAGCATTATCAGCCCGAGTCCAATATTGGAATATACCAGAAGTCAGACCACGTACCTCTCACGGCTAGACCACGACTTCAAGCATAAGTTTAGCTCGTACAGGAACTGCCGGATGGCTACAATTGCAGAAACTGCTGTGACTAAGTGGGTACGTTCTCTTTCCGGTATCGAGATTGTTTTCGGATGCCATGAATGGCCATTTTATACTACATGCACGTCAAATGCAAAAGTTTCTCTACTGCCAGGAGCTGACTTAGAACATACCTTTCTTCTTTCCCTCGCTATGTCTCTGTGCGTTTCTGGTGCTCCCCTCCCTATGAAACATAAGTTTTGCTTTCTAGAGGCTCTCGTATGCCAATCAGGGCTCCGAAAGGTTAAGAGTAAAGTTGGATCGTGCAAGCATTGCTGTCTTCAATGCTGGGAACTGCGAGGACCAAATTCTCCGTTTACTTCGAGTCCCTTCTATTTAAATCCCGCGCAAGAGAGCATAGGGCCATGAGCGCAAAAGATTCAGCATTTAGACCTTCTTGGTCGGCCCCGATCACGTGAGTAAATGTATGTGGAAGGGCAAAGTTAGTCGACGCTAGGAAGGAGGATTCATCGCCCTTGGGTAATGTATTCACTTCGGTCGTTGCCTGTGTTGATCTCAGACAGGGTGTTAACTTTGAACAGGTCGCTCGATCAATGTCATTCTGTTCGTGTTCCGATGACTTTCGAATATAGAATATGATGGTGGGCCTCTTATTGACGCACACGATTCTCCTTGATGCAGGACCTAGTGGGAATAAACCACGTGCTGGTCCCGGAAGGATCTTGGAGAGTCGCCGGTTGTCAGAAATACATGGCATCGGAAGCCGACCACTTCTCAGTGTGCAAACCGACTAGCAAAACCAGCAACAATTACATCAATTTCCTGAGGAACATTGAGGACCTTCCAATCGCCCGGCCCGTTCCGGAAGCAGTCGTAAGATTGATAGTCTTCAAAGAAGACACCTTCAAGAAGTCAGTGCCTAGTGTAGACCTGTACTCGCTCGAAGATCTGAAGGAACAATTGGAGAACGCCCCTGTAGAATTCAAAACTCGGCTTGTTGACTCATCAGAAATCCTCACCGAGCTCGTCCGCCTCTTGAGCAAAGAAGGGTGGGATGAGGGATGGGATGCCGATGGCCGGATCCGTGCCACTACGGCATATATTCTCTATTATCTGGCACGCGTGGAGAAACTCAGGGCTCAGATCGGCCTATATCCAAAGGCGTTGCGGAGGCTGCTACACCTGCTGCACATGAACGTGGGAGAACTTCGCAAGGCCGCGCTTTACGCCTTGCACGTTCTCGCACGCGACGGCCCATCAGCGGCGGCTATATGTCGAAGGGAAGGAGCTCTCGACCACTTGGTGTCACTGATGAAGGAGGAGGAGGAGGATACGGACTTGAGAGTCAAAGCAGCCACGACGTTGGCTTTCGCGACCGATAAGCGCAGAGAAAACCAGAACAGCTTTCTCGATCTCGAGAGAGCATATAAAATACTTGTGCGCATATTGGAGGAGAAGCAAAGTCCGAACCTTCTATATTCCGCCGCCCACGCCTTGGCGAATGTTCCTGAATACCACAGCGAATTAGCAAAGCAGCCCGAAAGTCTCATTACTTTGGCCATGTTAGTGGTGGTGAACATAAGAGGAGAGAGCAGAGAGCAAGATGAGGAGCGGATGGTACACTGCATCAATGTAGCCACCATCTTCCGGGAGATAATAGCGGGTGGAGCCAATGCGCGAGTGCACAAAGTGTCTAAAGACAACATTTACCGCATAGAACTGGGAATAGAAAACTTTGGAAACTTGAGAACGGGGGTTCTCAAGGGACTTGAAAGATGGATTAATCTTTCAATCTTACGATCCATCAAGTATATCTATATATATAAACTATATATGTGCTATATATCTAAAGAATATATTAAAATAAATAGTATATCTAAAGAATATATTGTAATAATTAGTTTATTGGATAGTATAGAAAGAAAATTGATAAATATAGAAAGTAATTTGTTTGATGGTACCCTTACGGAAAGTAATTTGCTTTATGAGACCTTTGCGGAAATTAGTTTGTATATTAAAACAATTGGATAATATAGAAAGAAAACTGAAAAATTTGTTTGATAGGACCATTTGTAACCATCTTTAGTTAGTTAAAACTAAAGTAGAGGTTACTCTAAATATTGATGTAGATACTTTAGTGTGCACTAATCATAACTGTCACGTCAGCGATCCGCGCACTTGGTAGGTACAGAGTGGATGTGTTAGTTGACAGTGCCACGTCAGCAATCCGTGTACTCGTAGGTAAGGATTGAGTGTGTTAGTTAGTGTGTTAGTTGGGTGCGCCACGTCAGCAATCCGTGTGCTTGTTAGGGTTATCCGCCACGTCATCCATCCACTAGGAGTGGGATGGATGGTGGGGATTAGATCTTATCACCTTGTACTTGTTGGTGAGAGCTATATAAGGGAGAGGAGAACCATTGTTGGTATCTCTCATCTTTAGAGTCTACGTTTCTATCTTCGAGTGAACTTCTCTCTAAACCCTAGTGTTACAATGGTATCAGAGCGACCTTGCTCTTTCATTGAGTGTGGATTATCCCTCATGGAATAGCAAGTGAGTGATGATGGAGTGTAGTCTTGAGAGCGTATAGAGGCTGGCAGAGGTCATTCATCTGCATGTAGAGAGAGATGGAAGCGGGAAATTGTGCTTTTGTAAATATGGACGGGATTGACATGAATCCAGTACCGCACTTGTCAATTCCTAACCTATTCGATATTCACCTTCCACGCATGGAGAAACATCATTTTCGGATATACCTTGTAGTTTGTTGGTGTGCAGATTTTATGACTAGAGTGATGGAGTCAAGAGTGCCACTGATTATTCCAATAGTTATTTATAGAGAGACTTGGGATTGTACTATATACATTCTATATTGATTATTTCATGGATTTGAATCGCGAACCACCTGTCCCAGTTCGATTCAACACTTATGTAGAGATTAGAACAGTATATAGACAGAAGAGTATATAGAAAGATTTTCTTGTGAGGAATTATGGAGAGGAATACTATAGAGTTGTGATAGAGTCACATGTACCTTTTGTGACTCCTTTGTTGAGAGGTCACATAGTGATTATACTCACTTTGTATTAGAGTGAGTGTGAGAAAGCATGGGAACATCAATTGATATGGGTAAGGTTCTCAATGCAATCATGGTGGAAATGAAGGAGTTGAGAAAAGCGATAGTAGATGGGCATACCAAGCAGCAAGCCATGGAAGATAAAATCTTCGCATTAGAGAGTGAGAAAGTAGAGAGAGAGAGAGTTGGAGAGATTGAAGTTGAACCTCAAGTTCAAGCTTCCCAAGTTCAGCCAGAACCAACTTCTATTGATGCAGTAGAGGCAAATAGAAGACGTCTTCAAGAGATTGAAGATCAAGCAAATCTTTTGCTTCGAATGGGAAAATCCTGTAAAGTGGAAGCTTACAAAGGGAGTAGAGCAATGGGAGTGTTAGAGGGATGGATTATGAAGATGAATATTCATTTATCCCATTTTCATGTTTCTGATTATATTGCAGGAATGTTCATGAGATCTTATCTTACAAATATGGCTCTCACATGGTACACAACATGGGAGATAATGCTTTCAGAACGAGGTGCTACCATTTCGTGGAGTGGAATGCAGGAAGGACTTCTGCAAAATTTTCAAGCGGTGGATTCTCTTCAAGCTGCAAGAATGAAGTTGTGGGATCTGAAGCAGAAAGGAGGTATTCATGAGTACATTGAAGAATTTCGTGACCTCCAAGTATCTATCATGGATATGAGCGGAGCTGAAGCCTTTGACGTGTTCAAACGAGGCTTGAAAGATCGAATTCGAAAGGAGGTGATGGTAAGCAATCCATCTACTGTGAATGAAGCAATTGCTCAACGAATTTCGGGTGCTTTTGGTGTCACACACGGTGAACCAGTGAACAATTTTAGAGATCCATCTGGTCCAACACCGATGGACTTGGGAAACCTTCGACGTAGAGAAGGTTTTGCACCAACAAGAGGACCACCACCAAGATTTGGAGGTGAGATTAGGTGACCAGGAGTTCCAAATTTGCAAGAAGGTTATGCAAATAATGGAATGGTTCGAGGAGGAGCTGGAGTTCGTGACAATCGCCAATGCTATGCATGTGGACGAATGGGTCACATAGCCAAGTTTTGTCGAGTTCGGCCGACACAACAAGGAGGACGGCCCATGCAGCGACGACCGTTCAACAATATGGAGGGGATAGAGTATGAAGAGGTGGAGGAAGCAATTTCGGGATACGAAGATCACCAGTAATCTTGCCTCGCGGCCTTACTGGTTCTACAAAGCGAAAAAAGGCGAGGTTGGAAGAATGCAATGGTTGGGAGCTCATGGAAGGAGTAAGAAGCAAGCTCAACTCATTGTCACTGACGGTTTCATGGAAGGACACAAGGTGAGAGTTTTAATTGATCCTGGAGTAACAGAGAATTTTCTATCAAGGAGTGTTGCTATGAAGTTAGGTTTGATGTTGATGAAGGACGTGAGTGAAGAAGTGGAATTGCCAAACGGGCAAACTAAAGTGATGGAAACACTACCACGGAGTGTAGAATTATCCATAGGTAGATACAAGGAGAGCATTGAGTGGAGAGTAATTCGTTTAGCTCGATATGATGTCATCCTTGGAATGCCATGAATGGAACAATATAATCCGAAGGTAGATTGGAGAAGAAAAGTGATTACAAGTAGTGGATGGAAGATCTATGGAGATAGAATTAGATCTCAGAATAGGAATTTACCCCTCTTTGTGATGGGTACAACATCCATTTCTAGAGATGATGTATGTTTCCTTGGACTTATAAGAGATATTGGGTCCACGGACAAACCTTACATCCCGGAGTACTTGAACGACATGTTTATGGAGTATAAAGATGTTTTTCCAGATGATCTACCTGCAGAATTACCACCAAAGAGGCGAGTAGATCACAAGATTGAGGTGATACTTGGAAGTACACCAACTTGCAAAGCTCCATATTGTTTGGCTCCAAACGAATTAGAAGAATGCAAAGCTCAAGTGGAGGAGATGTTGAGCAAGGGATTCATTCAACCAAGTGTTTCACCTTATGGAGCTCCCGTACTCTTTGTGAAGAAGAAGGATGGATCCATGAGACTATGTATCGATTATCGCGGGTTGAATCAGCAAACAGTGAAAAACAAATATCCATTACCTCGTATGGATGATTTGTTTGATCAACTTCAAGGAGCGAAGTACTTCACCAAGCTAGATCTGAGAAGCGGCTACAATCAAATTCGAATTGCAGATGAAGATGTTCACAAGACAGCTTTTCGTACTAGGTATGGACACTTTGAGTATTTAGTGATACCTTTTGGTTTCAATAATGCACCAGCTACATTCATGGGATTGATGAACGATATCTTTTGCCCTTATCTAGATAAATCTGTCATTGTTTTTCTAGATGATATATTGGTGTATAGCAAAACTTTGAGTGATCATAGAAGTCATTTACGAGAGTTACTTCAAGTTTTAAGAGACAATCAATTGTATGCCAAAGCTTCAAAATGTGAATTTGGCAAGTCAGAAGTAGATTACTTGGGTCATAGAGTTACAGCTATAGGAATCCAAGTGATGAGTGAGAAGATAGATGCCATTCACAAATGGATAGCACCTGAGGATCAAACTCAATTGAAGAGTTTTCTAGGGCTCACTGGATTCTATCGTAGATTTGTGAAAGGTTTTGCTCGACTAGCTCAGGCCTTGACTTCCATGTTAGGGAAAGGTCAAAAGTGGAGATGGGGAACAGCTCAAGAGTTAGCTTTTCAAGCATTGAAAGATGCTTTGTTACACGCACCTATTCTCAAGTGGTATGATCCTAACCGTTCTATCAAGTTGGCCACTGGCGCATCAGGTACAACAGTAGGTGGCATACTTCAACAAGAATGGGAGAATGAATGGCATCCAGTTGCTTTCTATTCTCGAAAGTTGGTGGCGGCGGAACAAAACTATCACACGACAGAACGGGAGGAGTTAGCCATCGTGTTGGCAACCAAACATTGGAAGCATTATTTGGGTGATAAGGAGTTTGTGGTGGAGACTGATCATAAACCCTTGGTTTATTTGGAAACTCAGAAGGATCTGTCCAAACGACAAATTCGATGGGTAGAGTGGCGTCAACGCTTCAACATGAAGATTGTGTACGTGGAGGGAAAGAAGCAACTTGCAGATGCTCTCACACGCATGCCTTGTTTGAATCATGTTGCAGAAGTGAAAATTCAGGCGGATTGGTGGAGCAAGATGTCACAAGCCACAAAGGAGGATGAAGAGATCACTCGGGAACTACAAACTGGTAAGGCAGAGAAATCTCGAGGTTTGGCGTTTTACAATCAGCGTATATGGATTCCACAAGATCACGATTTGCGCACAATGATTTTGGCAGAAAGTCATGATACAGCCATTGTAGGTCATGTGGGAGTGGAGAAAACCGTGGAGAGTATACAACGAGTGTACTATTGGCCCAAAATACGTGAGGACGTGGAGTCTTATGTTCGAAGTTGTGTTGCTTGTCAACAAAACAAGGCAAGTAATCAAAAACCAGTGGATTTATTACAGCCTCTTCCTATTCCCGAACAACGGTGGGAACATGTCACTATGGATCTTGTATGTGAGTTACCAAGGACTTCGTTAGGACATGATTCAGTGGTGGTTTTTGTGGACAAATTGAGCAAGATGATTCACATCAGGCCTACCACAAAAACAGTAACAGCTCCACAACTAGCTCAATTGTATCTAGATGTAGTTTTTGTGAATCATGGCTTAAGCAAAGTGTTAATCACGGATAGAGGTACTCACTTCACTAGTTTATTTTGGAAAACTTTGTTTAGTTTTTTCAAAACTAAACTAGCAATGTCAACGGCCTATCACCCTCAAACTGATGGACAAACTAAGAGGGCAAATAGAACCATAGAGGATATGCTACGAGCATTCACATTAGAAGAGCAAGAAGAGTGGGACAAACTTTTGCCACTTGTGGAATTTGCATATAACAATTCAGTTAATGCATCCACAAAAGTGTCTCCATTTTTCCTTATGTATGGAGCTCATCCTATAACTCCTTCAAGTTTGATGAGACTTCCCAAAGGAGAGTAGTTTTCGACCAAAGTTGCAGCAGTCAACGAATTCGTGGAGCATATTCACCGAGGACTACATCAGGCCAAGGAAAAGCTGGTGATAGCTCAAAATCGGCAAAAGCAGCATGCCGATGCTCATCG